ATATATATATATAAATAAATAAATAAAAAGAAACAATAGGACAGGGATGGTAGGCATGTTGGCAAGAAAACCAAGAAACAAACCCCCAGTGTGTTTACAGAAAGAACTCTGACCAACTAAAAGAAGGAAAAAAATAAGTACAAAAAATGGAAAGAGGAACACGTAACTGAGGCGGAATATCAAGAAATAGCCCAAACAAGTAAAGATGGGATTAGAAGAGCTAAGACTTTGAATGAAGTGAGACTTTCAACAAATGTCAAAAACAATTTTTAAAATGTTTCTTTCGACACATAAAAAATAAGAAAAAAGGCCAAGATACAATCAGTCTGCTAATGGCAGTAGATGGCAAAGAAATAACAGGCAGTCGAGAGAAAGCCGAACTGGTTAAGTCATACTTTGCATCTGTCTTCGTGCAAGGGGTGGGTGGGTTGAGGAGTCAAGAGCTGATGTTTCTCCAAGGTTTTACTTTACCATTATAGGTTTATACCCTTATTGGAAAGGTTGTGTATACGATGTTAACCATTTGGGCAACACTTGCCTCCTTCATTATAATAAATATGATTTAAAACTATAACATCAGTTGCCTAGCAGATGGTTCATGAGCCTCATAACTATAATTGTGAAAGTACAAGGGGACTTCAGCTCCTTAGAGGTCTTTTAGTCGGACTCTTTCCTCAGGCTCTATACCAGGCGTGTCAAACTCTATTTCATCGAGGGCCGCATCAGCTTTGTGTTTGACCTTAAAGGGCCGGGGTGGGTGTGGCCAGCATGATGTTTGTCAGAATATTCATGAACCGGCAGAGGCATGGTAAGAGGTCAGCCAATGAATAGGCAGAGCAACTAAGTCAGCCAATGAGGGCAGTTTGGAAACTGAAACTGGAAGGAGTCTAGGCGTGGCTCTATATTAAGCTCTGCAGCTCTGAAGGTGTGTTAATCTCTGAGTCTTGCCTGCAACTGCTGAATTGAAACTGAAACTCTTCTCTGCTGTTCTCTCATCTGTTTTGCGTTTTTGCCTGTAACTCTCCACCACATTGGAAGAACCTACTATTGGTATTGAGGGTTTATCTGATCTAATTTTTCCATGAAGCACCTTTATTCAATGAAGGTATGCCAACATTACGCAGGATGAACAGATACTATTCAGATTTCATAACTATAGAGGTAATAGAATGGGGAGATGACAGATGTAGGGTTTTTTTTTTAAAAAAAATCATTTTGTCAAAAGTAATTGAAGGTGGTTTCATCAAATTCTTTGCAAGAAAGGCTGTATTATATGATGAAGGATGATAGATAGAAGAAGCTAGGAAGAAGAAATGTTTCTACAAATATTTTTTCTTTAAAGAAGACTACGAGAAGATCTGCTTCTAGGTCAAGGTTTTTGTTTCTAACTCTCAGCTAGGAAACCACCAACAAACAAATTAATAGAACTTCAAGCATATACCAAAAAAAAAAAAAAGTATTTGCTGTGTAATATTATAAAATTGTACAATGGAGATAACGTTGGGATGGATCTGAAAAACATGTGAAAAGGAGCATTCTAAAATTGCCTTTAAATAAACTTCTGCTGAGCATCCCTTGAATAGGAGTTAAATTAACAGAGAAAAGGCTCAGATCTTCACTTAATGGAGAAAAAGAAGAAGGCTAGCTCTCTTTACAGAATAGCTATTATCTTCAAAGGGGTGCAAAACACTTAATGTTCAGCTAATGAACATTTTCTTAAACTCATGCAACTCCTTTGGTTAAAAAGAAGAAGCATGGCTAAATATCATGTAGAAATGCAGATTGAGTTCTCTTACTGGAAATTAGCTCCTTTTAAGAGGAGCAATACAAGACTGTAACCTGACCCCTCATGAGCCAATAAGAGGTAAGAAGGGGATTCTATTAGGTTTTTGGTGAGAAAAAAACTTGGGATGTCTTTGGTAAGAGAGTCAATGGCAACCTGGGAGAGGAGTTACCTCAGGAATGATAGGAAACTGTGATTTTGCTACTGTATAGCCACCATTGTACTGTCATTTGGATATTTAAAGTGTGTGTTCTGTATATGGAAACTCTCTTTTGACACCTTTAATAAAGTGTTTTTTTTTTTATTCCAATCCTGGAATAAAATCCTTTCTGGCACCCATCTCAGCTTGGCTTTTTCTTGGGTTCTCCTTTGGATTTAAGCATACCTGGGTGGGCGTGGGTGTCCATCCTTCCCAGCAGTGGTGGGGTTCAAATTTATTTACTACCAGTTCTGTGGGCATGTCTTGGTGGGCATGATGTGTAAAATCTCCACGCAGAAGCGTTATTTGCCGGTTCTCTGAACTACTCAAAATTTCTGCTACCGGTTCTCCAGAACTGGTCAGAACCTGTTGAATACCACCTCTGCTTCCTGGTTCCCTAGAGGAAGAGGACTGGTGTGGAGGGAGAAACAAATATCTTGCAAAGAAGGTGGCAACAGCCATTGGACTGAATTTTTCAGTTGATGGTCATCCCAGGTGGAGGTTACCTCAATATTAAAGGACCTCAGAGAAAGAGCTGATTCGACCCTGAGGACGCCTTTTCTTTATTATTATAGTGGCCAAATTTCCTTGGAAAAAAGGACAAATCTGCAAAAGTGTTGGCATTGAGAGACACATTTAGAATCTGTTAAAAAAGCAAAAAGGACAGATGCCTTCTCTCTCTTTTTTAATAATATTTTTATTGTACATTTTCCTTTATTACACATCACATTTCCAGTTTTGCAATGTCAGTGTACTGCCTATATCAAGTCCCTTTTAGATACGCATCATGGTATACACCCCAATTACAACCATCATTCACATCGTCATACAGTGTAGTCTCTTTTAAATACACAGTATCATAATTATAACTATTGTTTTCATAGTTGTACCATAACACTTTATACGTTTATCACTCTATACATTTTAATATATAGTCACCTACAGTCCAGTACAGTGCTTACAGTATATATTCTTAGATATATCTATATACCTGCATTTATTTCTATTTTGTTAATCTTCTTTTGTTATTAAGTTACTAATCTCTGCGCCTGTTATTTAACCATTTGTACGATACGTCCCATGTTGCGTAATATTCTGTTTCTTCTTTATCTTTAAGTTCCATCATTAACCTGTCCAATTCTACACATTCTAATATTTTTTATAACCTTTTCATCTGTAGGGGTGCTTTCATTCTGAGCCCTGGGAAAGAAATAGAAAAAGTCCCAACGTCTATCCATCCTGACTCACTGAGGTACAAGAAAAGGAGATGAAAAATAAGACTAGAACTAAATGGTATGGAGATGTGCTGTATGAACAGAATCTTGCAGGTCTTATTTCCTGATCTGGAGAACCTTCAAGGCAGTGGTGGGATTCAGATATGTTTACTACCAGTTCTGTGGGCACCGCTTGGTGGGCATGGCTTGGTAGGCATGGCTTGGTGGGGCATAGCAGGGTAAGGATACTATAAAATCTCCATTTTCACCCACTCCAGGGGGAAGGTTACTGCAAAATCCCATTCCCTCCCCATCCAACTAACCTGCTTTCCAGCTCCATTCTCCTGTGCAGGGCAACAAAAGAAGACCCAGCCAATCATCTGGGACTCAATGGGAGGCAGATGACAGATGGGGGCGGGGCCAGACAGAGGTGGTATTTGCTGGGTCTCTGAACTACTCAAAATTTCCACTACCGTTTCTGCAGAACTGGTCAGAACCTGCTGAATACCGCCTCTGCTTCAAGGGCTAACAATGGCAGCCCCCTCAATGCCTTCTAATTTGATTTCATCAGAACAGAACTTAATCAAAATATTTCAGTGGAATGTCTAGGGTATTTTTGTTTCCTGAGCTGTATAGAAAACCATTGTTGCTTTCACACTCCGTGGTCTCTAGTGTCTGGCATCTCCAGGGAAAAGATGAAAAGGAGAAATCCAATTTTCCCTTTTCTTGCTTCTCTTTCTTTTAAAATGGTACTTCTTAAGGGTAATTTAAACAGGAAGTTTAGTTGCCCATTAATGGTAATTTAAACATTAAAAAGGTATAACTTTTTCATGCTGAGAAGAACTGCCAAACACTAATGGTCCAAAAATTAATGGCTTTATAAGAAATGTCTTGAAGAATCAATGTCTCATTCTTTTTCAGCCAAAACCACCTCTGTGTTTACACTTTGCTGACAATTCTGGGAGAAGAGGGCATTTCGTTTGAAGCCAGATCAGGGATTACAGTGAAGACATCTTGAAACAGGAGAACTCACTAGAATTGGACATCAAAAAGTAGGTGCTCTTTGAATTTACGCATACATCCTATACCTGGAATTTCTTTATATGATTGATTGATTATGTGCCCTTAAGTTGTTGACAACTCTTAGTAAACACATTGATATTTTCCATGATGTTCTGTCCCTTCTTCTTTGATGCCTATTTTATTTATTTTATTTGTATTTATTTGTCAAGCATGTATTAGATAACAGGTATAATTAGAACATGATTATGACTACATGAAATGGGTATGAATAAAAGTGAGACATTAGGACAGGGACAGTAGGCATATTGGTGCACTTATGCACGCCCTTACAGACGTCTTAGGAATGGGGTGAGGTCAACAGTAGACAGTCTAAAAGGTTGAAGTTTGGTGGGGTTGGGGAAGAAACCACAGAGTCAGGTAGAGGATTCCAGACATTGATCACTCTGTTGCTGAAGTCGTATTTTCTGCAATTAAGTTTGGAGCATTTTACCTTATGTTTGTATCTATTTTGTACTTGTGTATTGTTGTGACTGAAGCTGAAGTAGTCACTTACAGATAGGACATTGTAGCAGATAATTTTGTGTACTACTCTTATGTCAGACCGAAGGTGGCATAGTTCTTTTCCCCCCACCATTTTTCCCCATTTCCCATGTCTCCTAAAGCAACATCTCCCATTCCGACAATGCTTCTTCAACAAAAGTTTTAGACTTTACTCGGAGTTCAACTCACTACACTATCTTTTGCTTCCATCCACAACATTTTCCACCCAAAGGCCAACCTGTGGCAATCAAAAGCAGCAATTATTTAGGAAAATTGTATAAATTATGCATAGTCAACGTTTTCTTTAATCTCATCATTTTTCTCCAAAACAACAACAATCACAAGGGCATGTCACTTTGATACTTAAGAGTTTTAATATTTATATAATTCAGGAAGTAGAAGGAAAATAGAAGGAGAGGTAGGCAGGAAAAATTGTGATCCATTTTTAGGATCTCCTTGGAAAAGTATTTCCATTATATTCTCACCGGTTCAAGGTTGGCTCAGCCTTCCATCCTTCTGGGGTCAGTAAAATGAAGACCCAGATTGTTGACGCAATATGCTGACTCTGTAAACTGCTTAGAGAGGGCTATAAAGCACTGTGAAGCAGCATATAAGTCTAAGTGCTATTGGCATTATATTTAATTAAAGAGAATCACCTCTGAGTCAAGTTCAACTTACAAATGAAGGCAAATATGCTTGTCCCAGGGATATTGTTGCAGGATCAAATTCAACTCCTGGGGACTCTGCAGATTTGGCAACAGGATAAAATAGTTTGCCATTGCCTTCTTTCTGGTGTTTTTCAGTTTCTCAGCATAATTCACAGACTGGATTTCTTGTTGGTTATCCATTCAGATATTCCAACTCTGCTGAGTTCTTGGATACCAGCCAACATTGGCTAAATGGGATTCATTTATTAGACGTTTTACATTTGCTAGAACAGATTTTTGTTTCAATAGCATCCAATTACCTGATAGATCATTTGTTCAAGGCAGCAAGGAAACTGATTCTATCTCTGTCTCTCTCTCTTTTTTCTTTTATGCCAGCCATGCATAAATCATGACAAAAATAGTGGACCAATAGCCCAAACCACAGACCTAACTTCTTATCCATACCCTCTATAAATCTGGGATCAGAACTGACCCATGTGGATAATGAATTCCCAGATGTAACCATATCAGAATCAGATTATTATTATTGTATAATCCTCATTATTAATATATTCATTTTCCTAATTTCCAGTTTCGGCATGTAGGGATAGGATGATTATCTGGCTCCTGGGCTTTAGCAGCAGAATCTCTCCTTTCACTGTCATTGTCTTGAAGTTGTCAACAGCTGATCTTGAGGTTCTCCTAACCAGGATAGTCTGGTTCTTTCCCTTAGTTTTGATCGAAGAACCTGGTTTCCTGGCAAGTGGCCATTTTCAGGTTTTCTAGCTTATGTACATGGCTAGTCAATTTCTACTGACTGCCATAAGCTTGAATCCGTGTTTAGATCTCCTCCTTCTGGAATGGCATTGTTCATATCAGCCAGGACATTTCTCCATAATTATGTATGCTCTTCTGCGAATCATTTCCTTCTTGTTCTTGGCAATACACATTTTACATTTCAGTTCTGAGTGCAGTGAAAATTCACTTACAGCATAATACCTCTTCCATGTGCCTGTGTTGTCTTCCCTTCCATTCCGACAATTGTCTTTTTGGTTCTTTTTGTTAAAGCTTGCAGTGAAATGCATCAATTTTCCAAGCACACTCTCTTTAATAGTTATCCAGATCACTTTTATCATCTCCCTCCTATTTGCTCTTCCTTTCACTTTCATTTCCATGGTTGAAGATATCCCAATCTATATAGAACTGAGCAGTTTAGTGACTTGTCTGAATAGCAGTGTGGATCCAATAATATACTTTTGGGGAGAAAAAAAGAGAAGTCAACCTAGAGAGAACGTCCAAGTTACATTTCGGAGGATTTTCCAGGAAGGAGAAGACAATAGAAAAGACATGGAGATAGAATTTCACTTTCAAAGTCTGCTGTAATACTTCCACAATTTTATGATGGGGGTTAACTTGATGGCCCACCATTAGCTGGGTAATACCCTTTCAAAAATGTGTCTGGGACCGTAAGGATCTAAAGTATGGCTACAGTTCAAATTTGGATAAGAGTATCAAAAAGGCAGTCTAATGTTTAATGCCTTTTTGGAAAAAAGTGTAAGATTTTATTAGTGAAATATACCAAATAAAAAAAAAAGTTATATCAGTAATTGTATAGTGAAAAAACCCATATAAGTAAGTTTGATTGAAGCAGACTGAATATACAAGGAAAACAAAAGAAACTAAAAGAGTTATGAAAAAGGAAAAATTAAGACCATATAATATTTGCAAAATATTGGTTTAATTCTTAAAGTTATGATTAAATTTAGACCCTACAGAAACAAGTGGTTCCATCTTCTCAATTGTAGAATAGAAAGATATGAGGAGTCCTTTGTGCTTTCTGAGACTGATTGTTTTCCTAAAGATGTTTCATTACCCAAACTTGTTCTGACTCAGTCTTTGTCAAACTTAATAAAACACAAACTGAATTTAAAAGTAAAACCTATTTTAATGTGACGCTGGGAATTACTTGCATTCCCAGCCAAAACTAATTATACACAGTTACTCCAGATAAGAGCATGCTTCTCAGTGCTGTAGAATGCTTGCCAACAAACAGACATCCAATTAAGGCTTAACATAAACCAACCCCCAAACCTAGAAAAAACCAGCCAGAGTACAGAGCTTCATGAAGGACTTGGAGATTACTGAACTGCTCTGCTTCCTGCAAAGCTCTTCATCATTGAGGACTGACTTTTATCCCTTATGGGAGGGGCAATCACCACCCAGCCTTACTCCTGAGTCATCCCTGCTGCTTCAGCTACTCTCTCCTTCTAGCAGCTCTGCGCACACGCACACTGGGAACAGGCTCCCCGGGGTCCTCTGCTTTGTTGCTGCCAGGCTCCGAAAACTCTGAAGGCAGCACCCCACTCCCAGATGGTCCTGGCCCCATCCCTGCATCTGATGCAGGACCCTCGGCCAAGTCCTTGCCAGACTCCCTGACTGGTTCCCTTTTGTCCTCACTGTCCGATACCTCTGCTGTCCTCACCAGCTGCCGGCGAATCACAACAAAACTAGATAACATCATCAGTACTAGTAAGGAGTGGGGTTTGCTCTCAGTTTATAATCTAGTGGCTTGCCCTGTTAGTGTTGGAGGAGGTAGTCTTGAAAGTCTTTGACTGGGCTGTTTATTATTGACTTATTTGGCAGTTCCTGGATTGGGCATTGTTTATTTGCTGATGTTAATATTGGAATTAATCTACACTCACCTGGGTGCTGATTGCTGGTGGAGAGGTGCTTAAGTCTTTTTGGTTTGCTGATTGACTCTTTTCCGTAGTTTATAGATATTCTTTATGTCTACGTCTCTTATCTTAGGGAACAAAATGATGCAGGCACCTCCCCACCAGCAATATTTTTGATCAACAATTTTTTAATTGCAAGCTGCCCAGAGTGTTTTGTGGAGATGGACAGCTATAGAAATTGAATAAGTACTGGCACTTACTGCCAACAAGATTAGCAAAAATGTATCCTAATAGATCAGCGGCACGCTGGAGGTGCAAACATAAACAAGGAACATTTTTTCACATGTGATGGAAGTGCCAAAAGGTGAAGAAGTACTGGATGATGATAAAGAAATGGCTAGAGGAGATTATTAAGCAAAAAATTTGAGTGGAAACTGGAATTATTCTTATTAGGTATAATAAAGGACAATTTAAGTTTTAAAAAAAATCAATATATCATACTCCATATAATGATGGCGGCCAGAATTGTTTGCGCACACCATTGGAAACAGATCAATATCCCTACAGAAGATATGGTGATAAAAACAGTGCTTGAATATACAGAGATGGATAAATTAACGATGGAGTTAAAATATAAGGAGGAAGCAGAATATTATAAGATTTGGAACATATGGTATGAGTGGCTAGAGGAGAAAGCTAAAGAATATGTATAAAAATTATTTAAGAGCTTCAGGAAATGTATATATACAAAATTATAAAGCGGTAAATATAAATGTAAAAATATTCAAGAAATATACCAGGAATTGAAAATGAAAATGAAAGTATTACAATGTAAACAGGAAGGAAGCTGATGCTGAAGCGTTCTGAATAATGGAAATGTGGTATAAATGTTTGAAAAATGTATTATAAAGATTTTTTTTTTTAAAAAAAAATTGAATTAGTAAGTAAATGCATTGTTGCATAGGTAAAGATGCCATAACTCAACTTGCTACCTTCATAAGTGCCCCACTGGATTCAACAGATTTTATCTTAATCTACTAAATTGTTTCTAAAATTGGCCAAGCAGGTACATGGAAAGAGAGGCCTGAGATGTATCCCTCTTGCTTGCTGTTGGTATCTTCTTGACTAATAATCCTTGAAAGACATGCCCACTTTCCTGTTGCTATGCCTGATTTTCTATTTCTCAACCATGTCATCATGCCCCCACTTGACTTTCTTCTTCGTTGATCTCTATCTGATAATGGCCCCTACCATGTTTCTTTCCTTCTGTTATTTTCCTGCAACTCCCCGTCAGGAATGCATCAAAACACAACACATGGCTTGTTTTTCTCAAGACCTTCATCACTTTGGGTGCTCCATCAATGGAGGTTTTTAAAGAAGAGATTGGAGAACCATTTGTCTGAAATGATATATGGTGACCTGCTTGAGCAGTGGGTTTGACTAGAAGATCCCCAAGGTTCCTTCCAGCTCTGTTATTCTGAATAACTCTGGGGTACCCTAAAGTCATGCATTCTAAAAAAAAAATTCATAATATTGAGAAGAACTCAGAAAGTATAGAAATAAATGATTATGCATTAAGAGTAGGCTCATATATTTTCTGGTGAATTTTCCTTCAGAAAATTTAAGAATCTTAATCCATTTTAGAAATCAGCAGAGCAGTCTGCTTCATTTCATTTTTCTTTTCATTTTCAGGAAAAATGAAATATTTCCCAAATAAAAATGAAGGTCTCATCCAGATTAGGCTGCTTTTCAGTGAGGTATTTTTTTTTAGGTTGTTCCTTTTTCTGTGTTATGATAACATGTTTACACACTTTTTTCAGAATATAGTTGTGCTAATACTTGGAAAAGTCAGAGAAGAATATTAAGAGTGTTTTCTGTTTTTCTACTCTAGGTTTTGCAGCTTGGGCCACCTAGTTCTCTACTCCAGTTGTAGCAGCATCAGTTGCAGACCAAGGAGAATGTCTTCCTTAGATTATGAAAGAGATCCACTTTTCTACTCTGGAGATTCCTCCGGTGATTACCACGAGGTATGTCAGCAATAAAGGTAGCATTTGAATGGTGGTAATTGTTATCTGCAAAGTACATTTTCTTTTTTACTTCATGAAAGGACTTGGGGACCATTAGGGTGTTATCAGCCAATATCATAGAATCCTACAGCCAAATATTTGAATGTGCAGAGATGAATAGATTAACACTAGTAATGAAAGAAAAAGAAGAAACTGAATATTATAAGATATGGGATATAGTTTACCAAGGGCGGGAAAATAAAACAAACTAAAGTTGAGCAGATGAATACATAGAGAAATAAGTGAATATTGATATAGATATGATAAATGTAAGAGATAATGGCTTATAAAGGAAATGTAATTATTGCTATATTGGTAAGAAAAGTACTAAACCATAAATTTTAGCACAAGATATATGTACCCAGTCGACACACTGTTTAAAGCAAAAGTGAATTTATGGTAAATATAAAATAAAAAAAAATTGGTAAAAAGAGATTCCTACAGCCAATTGAAAATCTTACTACCACTTCTGTCTTATGAATGGATGGCGGAAGATAACTAGATAGACAGACAGCTAGCTAGCTAGGTGTGTGTGTGTGTGTGTGTGTGTGTGTGTGTGTGTGTGAGAGAGAGAGAGAGAGAGAGAGAGAGAGAGAGAGAGAGAGAGAGAGAGAGAGAGAGAGAGAGAGAGAGAGAGAGATTTTCAAGGCAGTGAATATATCTAATAGACTTGGTTCCTATTTTCCCACCACAACAATCAGGAGACAAAAAATCTGTCTCACGTATACTGTTAGAATATCCCTTATGTACACAATGGCAATCAAAATTAAACCTTCCAATTGTTCTAACTGTTTTTGCAAGAGGTGACCATGAATACCTCATCTGTGGTCACTTCTCAGAAGTCTTCTAAGAATCCTGCATAATTCTCACCAAAAGCTGCAGCTCACATTATTGTTAGCAGCTAACTTTTAAAAGATTTTCTCACAATTATTATTTTTTAAATCCTTTTTCATACTGATTAGATGAATGTTTTTTTTAAAAAAAATATGTTTGATGTTGGGCCATAAATACACTTTAATTGCTTGATCGATAGAAAGGCTTTAAGTGGATGGGACAAAAGTAGGGACTCTGAAACAGGATTCTACTTAGGAATCGTTTTGATTATCAGAAGTCAAACCCAGTTTTATTTATTCTGATAATTGTATTTCCTCTTAAATTACAGAGCTCTGGATTGTCCACCTTAATCACCGATATGAATTTCTACAACAAAACAAACAAGACTTTTGGTACAGTGGTGGAACTATTTAATCTTTTAATAAGTAGGAACAGTATGTGAACTATATTGAAAATAATTAAGTGGGTGCATTCACAAAATGGCTCCTGAAGGGAATAAGTCATCTATTAAGTAGCCTTATGGAGAATATACAAATATTTGCACATTGATTGTTTTTGGGTGGGGCTGAAGACATAAAGCCAACCTCTTTATCTTTGAAGAGAACTTTAAAAAAAAATTGTTACTGGAGGCCCATATGCATTTGTGAAAATGAAGAAAAAACAAGGATGGGTAGAATAACTTCATTCCATACATACACAGACACATAGATATTCCAGGTTCTCCTGTTTTGTGAAGCTCTTGTGTCCTAGCCTGATCAGAGTCAGGTTTCTAGGAGGAGGAGTTGGATCTGGGACCGTCCAACAGAAATAGCATATCTTCCATTCTCTTTGGAAAGGCCAGAGGCCTTGGACGATGCTGTCCCAAAACATTCAGGTATTGGGCTAGGTGGTCGACCAGATGGAGAGCTGCCTGCCCTCACAGATGCAGGGAAGAATTACTAAGTGATTGGTAGTATCTTAATGACTACCTACCTGCATGGACAAAGTTTCTAAAACAAATTAGCATTTTTGCTGCATTATGTTATTGGCCATTGTTCTATCACCAGAACAAAGCAGACTCAAGACCGGAGTTGAGTTCAGCTCTTTATTTAACTGTCAGTAACTTCAACTAAAGTCGAGCCGCAGCAGCCCCTTTTATAGCAGCTGCTCGCAGCTCGCAACCAATGGCATTTATTTAAAACTCCCACCGCTTAGGCGGCCAATCATAACTGTTATTATCTACCAATTACGGAGTGGCAGTATTTGTCCAATAGGAATGCAGTATTACGAGTATGTAAAATAAGTATAGAACACCCCTCCCCTCTTGGTTTGATCCAACGTTATATGACGTAGTCACGTAAGTAGGCAGGGCTTTTGTGGGTCCTAGTTGACCTGCGCAGTTCAGTCTCTGCGTTGATCTCGGTCGGATTGGACAGGATCGCCTTCTCTCCTGTTCTTCTCTCTGGAACCTCCTGGAAGGGTGAGTCCGCCATGCCACTCCCGCTGTGCTTTGTTGGTTTGGTTGAGCGGGCATTGTCGCTCCCTTCTGGCATACTCGGGCAGGTAGAGTCAGCTTGGCTGCCTCTCCCCTGGTTCTCTTCCAGCTCTCTTCTTTTAAATTCACCAATAGGTAAGTAGTTTCTTTTTGGGTTTTCAGTTTCTGGCTGGTGGTTTGTTAATGGAGGGTTTTCCTTTTCTTTATTATTTAAGGGTTCCCCCCCCCTCTGGTTTTATTATTATTGTTTATTGGGGTTTGTGTATGTGTTTGCTCCATGTTTCAGGGTATGTCGGTGTTGTGTTCGATGTGTCGAGACAGTAGTTGGTCGATGTGTCTTTTCCACATTCTGCCGTCAGTTGTCTCTAAACGGTATGAACGAGGGCCTGTTATTTGAGTGATGGTTGCCAGTAGCCATAATGGGTCTCCAGTAAGATTCTTCGCATATACCAAGTCACCTGGTATAAACTTGCAATACTTACTGAAGGAGTCTGGTGGCTTCTCAGGGTTGTAAGTTGGGTGCAACCTGTCCAAGTATGTTCGCAATTTTCTGCCCATCAATAGTTCGGCTGCACTCTTGTTGATGGTTGTGCTCGGTGTTATGTGTTGGATGGTGAGCATGGTATTAATCTTATCTTGTATGTCACCTGTTTCAAGTTTCCCTAAGGCTTCTTTTGTACAACGAACCATGCATTCCACCTTTCCGTTTGCCGCCAGATGAGCTGGCGCTGTCAGAGCATGTCATATGTCTTGTCCTGCAAGGAATTATTCAAAAGCTAAAGCTGTGAACTGTGGGCCATTGTCTGATACTAATACATCTGGTAGACCATGGGTGGTGAAGAGTTTCTTTAGTTGTTTAGTGACAGCTTCAGTCATTGTTGAACTCATGAGGCTGACCTCTAACCAGTTCAAGTAGGCATCGATGATGATCAAAAATGTATATCCCTTTGTGGGTCCAGTGAAGTCTATGTGGATCCTTGACCAGGGGCCTCTGGGTATCTCCCAGTCAAGGACCAGTGCTAAAGGGGGGTAGGTCTGGATGACTGGCATTTATTACATGTTCTTACCCAGGTTTCAATGTCTTTGTCTATTCCTGGCCACCAGACGTAGCTTCTGGCCAGGGACTTAATTTTTACCATGCCCGGGTGTCCCTCATGTATGTCTTCTTGTAATTTTTATGGAACAACAACCCCATCCCCGCACAAGATGCACCCTTTTTCAATTGACAGCTCAGTTTGCCGGGTTCCGAATGGTTTAAAAGTCTCATTTTTGTCGTTTTCCGGCCAGCCCCTTCCCACCAAGTTCAGGAGTTGGGCCATTAGTGTATCTTTTGTGGTTTCCCTCGCGATGTCCGATGCGGTGATGGGCAGGTTCGATATTGTTTCAATTTGCAGGGTGTGTGTGGTGAGAGCTGGGTTGTCGTCGTGGTCTGGTAGGGGTGAGCGGCTCAATGCATTGGCGTGGGGTATGGCTTTTCCTGGCCGATAGACAAGCTTGTAATTGTAGGCTGCAAGAAATTCCGACCATCTTGTCATCCTTGGAGACAGGATGTTGGAGGTGGTCCTGTCTCCTACCAGGATTCCTAGCAGTGGCTTGTGGTCTGTAATCAAGGAAAATGTCCTACCATAAAGATGTTTGTGAAAACATTTT